AGACAGACAGACAGACAGACAGGTGGATAGACAGGTGGACAGACAGACAGACAGACAGACAGACAGGTGGATAGACAGGTGGACAGACAGACAGACAGACAGACAGACAGACAGACAGACAGACAGACAGGTGGACAGACAGACAGGTGGTGAGCAGGACCTCATAGGCTCTGGACCCGGTGATCTGGGCCAGTCTCAGAGCGCCCCCTACTGCTGCCTGCAGGTCCTGGCACTGCTGACCGCTGCTGGAGTCCATCCAGACCGGACTGTCCAACACTGAGAAGCTGTCCTGTGGACATATGTGAGTCAGCAGGGACATGGAACACACACAGACACACAGACAGACAGACACACACACACACACACACACACACACACACACACACACACACCTGCAGCTGCAGGTGCAGGTTCTGGTCTGGGTGGAGCCTGTCCAGGGTCTGGGAGGCTCCTCGTCTCCAGAACACGCTGCCATGTTGCTGTGCAGAAAATATAAATGTTTGACTGACAGGTGACTGACGGGTCTCCTGAGGACCAACCTGAACCAGGTCCACTGAACCTGGTTCAGGTTCTGCAGCAACTGGACCCGACCCGCTCTGAGACCAGGCTCACCTGTCCGCTGCCTGACACCGCTCGGACCCGGGAGAAGTCAAGCCCCGCCCTCTTCATCTTCTCCAGCAGCAGGTCCAGAGCCTGATGACGGACAGGTGGGACAGCCAATCAGGAGTCAGAACCCAGCTCAGGGGTCAGAGGTCAGCTGGTACAGGTGTCTCACCTTGACCCACATCAGAACAGGTGAGGTGACCGTCAGTCCGTCAGCGTGGACATGGACTCCTCCCTGAGTCCTGAACAGAAGCAAACACTTTCAGAATAAAAGCCCAGTTCTGAACCTTTCAAAATAAAAGGCTTGTTTAGAGCCTTTTCTGAATAAGAACCCATCTGTGACACTTTCAAAATAAAAGCCCAGCTGTCGGCCTTTCAGAATAAAGCGTTCTGGTTGTTACCTGAACTCTGGCAGCTCAGAGTCGAACAGAACCCCGTCCTGATGGACTGGACTGAGGTCTTCATCCAGGACCACCACCTTCAGCTTCAAAACAAACAAACAAACAAACAAACAAACAAACAAACAAACAAACAAACAAACAAACAAACAAACAAACAA